GGAGTACAGCAACCATTTTCTTCTGTTTGCACAATGCTGGGTTTGTGATTTTGATTGCTACAATTTCTGTCGTTACCAAGTGACATTTCCCTCACGTACTTCGATTTGTTTTGGGGCACTTTGTTAATGACTTCAAAGCACTTCAAATCACTCGGTAAAAAAGTGATTCCCGCCCCTTATGATCACTACTGTCAGTTCTATCCCCGAGTTATGTGTGATCACACGAGAACCGCGTCTATGCTTATGCTTATGTGGTGGTGACAAGGGCGGCAGACTGTGAATTCAGTCCGATATCGAATCCGAAGTTCCATTATGATAATTATTCACGAGCTTATGCATCTTTTGTCCCACGGAATAATTTCGAAATTTAAGCTTTTCTTGGTAAAAATGGGATATGTCCTATTCTGTTTCCATTGTTTTGTATGATTTTACTTGTGTTCAACTGTGATATTTCATCGAGTCTCACTGTAGCCGGTCTGGAGGAAACTACATGGAGGTCATCAGATAATTTGGAGACGAGGTTTGAAAAAATGTACAAAGACATGGTAACAGTGTTGACTGAAACTGATCAAACTCACGCTCAAGTAAACCGGCATTTTTTACAATTGCTGACAAACTCCTGGTGCAATTAATCAAACAAAAATTATTTTTGACGAGGACTAGGTCCTTCTCACTTGAGGCATGTACCAGTTGTTGACCATTGAGAAAAGAAACGGAAATTGACGATTGTGAAGTCAATAGCTAGGCTGAGTGTTCCCTGACTTGCTAACGAGCCTTCAGATTGTGTTACTGTATTCCAATTTTGGACACCGAGTACCACCAACTAGCGTACTCACACACCCGGTCATTGCTACATGATTTCATTATAGAAACCGTTGAATGACACTACCTGTTTGCTTCACTCTGTTTCTCGTGCGCGTTTTTGGTAACAAACGATTGGAAACAGTTGACTGTTACCTCCGTATTTTCCAAAGAATGATAGGGATAACCCTGCAAGTTTATCACCATTCATGAGCATATTCTTTTTCAATTACTGGTTAACGATACAATCCACAAAGTAATCTATATGGTCAAAATAAAAGAGAATCATAATATTGTCAGTCAATGCAATTCCCTTGGGAATCGCAAATACCTCTTGTACAAATAGGAGTAAGACGACGTTGAAATGTAATGTTTCCTGTATATATATATATATATATATATATATATATATATATATA